TAAGAATTGGCGGTGGGTGGTGATGACTAGCTGCCTTCCCTCTAGTCTTACACTGCTAAATTAGGGACGGCTAGCGCAGATAGCCCTCGTGTAGCTTCGCGCGAAATTCAGAACAAACAAATAAACAAAACAAATGTGTCTTCACTCCGGAAACCAAGAAAACATCTTATTTGACTACTCTTAACTTGCGTCTTCACTCCCGAAATGAATAAAACACCCTATCTGGCTACTCCTAACGTATGTCTTTCACTTTCAAAATTAATACAACAACAGTTTATCTAACGTGCGCCTTTCACTCTCAAAATCTAGAAAACATCCGGTTTCTCTACCCCTATCACGCGTATTTTTACTCCCACCAGATCTGGTAACATATTCAGATCCTTCAAACGAAGAATATTAGATTAGTAGTCATATTACTTAGGATTAACGTAATTAAATGACAAACAATTAGAGAGAAAAGCCTTGGAACAGTTACGTAGGACAATACTCTCTGACCATACAGTTCCTATAATAAAACTATAGGTGAACTGTATTTCTGATTTTATAAGAAAAAACTGTTTAAAGGGGAATATACTTACTTTTGGAATGCAGTACAAAAATTCCAATTCTTTGGAGAAGAAAGAACACTTGTTATATAAATAAAGGTGAATAGTCAAAGTAATCAGTTATAAAAGTCTTAGAGAGATCTGTATAATATCCACATAGGAAGAATAGACACGTATAAATTATTCTTCCTTCATATACAAAAGCAGAATGAAACTATATACTAATTACAAAAACATCATCTGTCAACACACCTCCTTAATCCATCTCTGCCACAAATACTGATAAAACTAAATGGTTGTCGAAGACAAGTGTTCGTCATCCATCTTAATCTAACACATAATTGATAAATTAATATTCAGTTGTACTCCCCCCCTCTCTCGCTCATGACAAACTAAAGAATATTTTAAGTTCAAGACATTTACACATACAAACATTTGTTACACACTAAACAATATTTTAATTTCAAGACACTTACACGTACAAACATTTGTTACACACTAAATAATATTTTAAGTTCAAGACACTTACACGTACAAACATTTGTTACACACTAAACAATATTTTAAGTTCAAGACACTTACACGTACAAACATTTGTTAGACATTAAACAATATTTTAAGTTCAAGACACTTACACGTACAAACATTTGTTACACACTAAACAATATTTTAAGTTCAAGACACTTACACGTACAAACATTTGTTACACACTAAACAATATCTTAAGTTCAAGACACTTACACGTACAAACATTTGTTACATACTAAATAATTAAAGGATACATTTTAATACTAAGTACAGTTCTCCGAAAAGAGCAATAAGAAAGATAGATACCTTCATGAAGACGAGAAGGAGGATGCACACCGTGATGAAAGGAATACCTAGATGTGCCCATACGCTGCTGATGGTTTGGAAGGCAGCAAGCCTAAAACACCAATGAACCAAGTTTACAGAAAAGCTGAAACTAGCTTCAAATGGATAGCAAAACATTAGATGAAATAACCCATGAATTACAATGGTGTGAGTATTGAAAAGGAGATATGTCTAGCCTGAATTATTAGATCTTTACCTTCAAATGTTTGTATATTTTCATCTGGTCTTGATATTTTATGGCATGTTTTAAATTATTTGCTTTTAAAATGTGCTATATATATATGCGGCAACCCTGATCAATCTATTAAAAAAACAGAATCGCTGAATAAAATGTATTCTTTAATCTTAACAGGCTGATCAAAGAAAACATAATTTTTAGGCACGAAAAAGAGGTCTGATTTTTGTGTATTAATTAACAAATGGTTCATAATTATTCTGTTGTAAGAGACTACTGAAAATTCATAAGACCCACATGTGAGATATATTAATTAATAAATGGTTCATAATTATTCTGTAGTAAGAGATTACTGAAAATTCATAAGACCCACATGCGAGATATATTAATTAATAAATTGTTCATAATTATTCTGTAGTAAAAGACTACTAAAACTTTATATGACCCCCAAGTGAGATATATACAAAGTTTCATTGCCATGGAAATTTTCTAATACTCCATATGACTTAAAATTTAAATATAAACTTGATATTCTGACTCTGATTGAAAATAAGTACAGTTGTCTTTTGGAGACTTATATAATGTGATGGTTTGAGTTCTAATAAATTGTAGTATTTAAATGCATACTCTTATATTCTTAAAGTCTTACTATATCATTATATTTCCTTTAACACATTCCGTAATCTCAGGTAGATAACAGGGGTGTTAAACTTACGTTCCAGGAACCAGCACGAGATCTGCAAGATCACATACTAGAAGGACCAAAAGGAAGCCCGCCATTGAAACCGTTACTGTGCTCGCTCTTCGACTTCGGTATTGTTCTTCCAGATCTACAGTTTTAAACCTCAGTGTAAAGAAATGGGCGTGTTCCCACACGTTCCTAAAAAAAGTCGAACAGGTTAGAAGCCAAATAATGCACAAGAAATACAGATACACTTATTCCAATGCATTCCAAAAGCACGGATTAAAAATGGTCATTCATCTTAAAATTCGCTAATCATGGTGAATACATTTGTTGTAATTATTGTAATACTTTTTAAGTCACACGTTTTCGTTTCTTTTCCATAAGAGGAATGAGCCATATACTCAAAACGTTTACCGATTCCTCCAGGTAAAATACCGAGGAGCTATTTAATATGTCGTTGTTTATTCGGTGTTTTACTTCTAATGGAAAATATCACCTTTACTTTCAGGTGTTTATAGATTTAGCTAAGAAATTTCCTTTTACAAGTTTTTCCATTCAAAAAAATCAAAGAAAACATTTTACTTCACTAAAGATGTACTAATTCTTTCATATAGTTACTTAATACGATATTGAGAGTTAACCATATTTCATGAGCACGATGTCCCAGGTCCCTTGCTGCCTTTGAAACTACATCTTTCATTGACGATCGTTGTCATTCTGGTGGCCATGATTACGTAATACCACAATTGACTTTGTAACAAACTCCTGCGAAGAAAGGCGAAGTAAAACTTAACTAAGTCGCCCACCTTGACCAACTCTCCACAGACTCTTACTGAAGTGGCCTTCAGCTTACAAGACCACGTTTAAACAGATTAAATGCACAGAAATCCACTGGAGCTGAGTAGTGGAGGACGAGAGACATGTGGCCAGAAAAAGAGTTATTCTGATTCCAGTTTCTTCGGTCATCTTTCTTATGAAAACAGCCGTTGAATTAGAAGTTTGGGTACTTTTTGCTTTTGAGTCTTCTTCAACTTCAAATGCTTGTTTACTATCTTCTTAACGGTACCAAGAGATGTTCCTAATTCCACTACAATAACTTTTAGATAGTTAGTTGTTTTTTTTTTTTTTCTTTAACCATAACCTTCACTTTCCCTATGAAATTGTTGTTCCGAATTGGCTTGGGGTGTGATTTCTCTTGCAGTTGCTGTCCCAAACACCTCTCTGTGGGAGTTTTACTACTTCGATTGAGAACACCGAAGGTTTCTTTTTTCGAAGTATCGTCTTTAGGCTCTACATATGTTAGTATTCTTGCTGTATGAACAGTTTTCTCAAAAATAATTTTAAATAATCCTTCGCTATAAGTTTACTCATGATGGCAGGAACTTTCCGTGTACAAAACATGTAGGTGTTAGACGAGTTGCCTGTGGCACCACAACTAGCATCTGTGGTTACATGCCATGTGATTAACTGTAGGGATTCTTTAATTGAAAATATTTTATAACTCAGTTCTCATAGATATCGATGGGATTTACACATCAAGTTCTCCACAAAGTCATCATTCACACAGGAGTAATTGCAACCTTAAATCACATCTCCAAAGATACAGTATGTTAGGTTTTTACATCTCAGATGTTTACTAAAGCAAGCTTTCAAAAAAGTCACCATTCACACAGGAGTAATTGCACCCTTAAACCACAGTTCCAAAGATACAGTATGTTAGGTTTTACATCTCAAATGTTTACTAAAGCAAGCTCTCAACAAAGTTATCATTCATACAGGAGTAATTGCAACCTTAAACCACAGCTTCAAAGATACAGTATGTTAAGTTTTACATCTCAGATGTTTACTAAAGCAAGCTCACGTAGATTTTTTAACTAGTTTCTTATATTTTATGTGTACATTAACAGAAATTACGTATTTATAAAACGCCACCATCTATAAAAGGGCAATGACATAAACCTCACAAAACATTAACAAAAAATAATTATAGCAGAGAATCTCAAGCTAAACAAAGTTATGCTTAATGCAGGAAAAATAGCACACGATATAAAGCAAACACAAACTGATATTTTTTGGTAATAACATCACTCTCAAAAACAGACTGGAGAAATGCCGTTTCATCAGCATTTATCAAACACAGGTTAAAAAACTTGAAGGCTTATTAAGAAATATTCGCTCCTAGTTCAACCATCCTTTACTGTTCACAGCCAGTATTTTGTTTGGCGCCCTCTTTATCAATAAATAAGAATTATTTCAATAGCAAGCCTGACCTTTACTTTAATATTACGTCATATTTCAATATACAGATATACGTGGGCGTCACAACGACTGGTCGATTGTGTTCCTGCATGCTCCTGTGCATGGAGAAATTCACATTTTCTGTTTATTAGAGAGCATTTATATTAAGGTTGAAAATTACATAAGTTAAGACTGTTGTTATTTGTTTTCATAAGATATTAGGAAAATGATTCAACGTGTAACTTTATATGCAGCGAATTTTGGATCTTGATAATAATGTGTTTTTGTTTTGATAACTTTTGCGGTAAAACCATCTATTAGGCGTTCCTATAGGCAGATTCTTCATCAAACGCTTTTACTTTTTTTGGCTAATACAGAGATTCAAGTAGTATAAAACCATACATAGATATTTTTCCTGAGCTATATTACGAGTAATGTGCATTATTTCGGCAGAAATTTATAATTAATTTTTGTTACAGACTTAAAAAACACTAACAGATGTTATAACACAATCCTCAAAACTAGAAACTTATTTAATTTAGTTAATTTAATCAAGTTAAGTTCCTTTGTTTTATTTATTTTCTACTATATACTATTTAAAGCGATCTGTGGAGCACGGACTCGAATCCAGTCACCAAACATACTCGCTATTTCAATCGTGGGGGCGTTATAAAGTGACAGTCAATTCCAATGTTCGTCGGTAAAGGAGTATCCCCAGAATTGAAGGTGGGTGGTGTTGACTAACTATCTTCCCTCTAGTCTATAACTTCAAAATTAGGGACGGATAGCCCTCGAATAGCCTTGCGCGAAATACTACAAACAAACAAACTACTTATTATTTATTAGGGGTCACTGTTTCTCAATGTTAGCAAATTCACAAGATCTATTTTTTTTAAAACTGATGAAGGGTAGAAAGTAGAGCATACTTTGGAATTAAGTGATCAGTGAATAGCTATGATCCATGGTTAGTTATTTCTTATTGTCACTCATTTGAATTATAGATCCTTCCAGTCAATGGACTTTTGCCGAATGGATACTATAGACGATCCTTCCAGTAAATTGACTTTTGCCGAATGGATGCTATAGACGTGCTTTCCAGTAAATGGACTTTTGCCAAATGGATGTTATAAATGTGTCTTCCAGTAAATGGACTTTTGCCAAATGGATGTTATAAATGTGCCTTCCAGTAAATGGACTTTTGCCAAATGGATGTTATAAATGTGCCTTCCAGTAAATGGACTTTTGCCGAATAGATGCTATAGATGTGTGATTTATTTTTGGATTGCGCTTACTGATTTTATTGAAACACTCGCAATTAGCATCATTATTGATCCAGCAAGTTTCAGAAGGATTTCAACTTGAAGGAATCGTCACGTGGTCACGGAATGGGGTGTCTCAATGTGATGCTGTAGCTGTGAGACAAAGCATTACTTTCCGTACATGGAAGAAACACATAATTCATGGATATGTGAAAAGGAGTTATTAAGATGGCTGAACAAGAGAAGAAAATCCAAAGTAGAATTAATTTCTGATAATACAGGCTTGAAGCAAACCCAAAGTAGAACTAATTTCTGATAATACAGGATTGAAGCAAACCCAAAGTAGAACTAATTTCTAATTATACAGGCTTGAAGCAAACCCAAAGTAGAACTAATTTCTGATTATAAAGGCTTGAAGCAAACCCAAAGTAGAACTAATTTCTGATTATACAGGCTTGAAGTAAACCCAAAGTAGAACTAATTTCTGATAATACAGGCTTGAAGCAAACCCAAAGTAGAACTAATTTCTGATTATACAGGCTTGAAGCAAACCCAAAGTAGAACTAATTTCTGATTATACAGACTTGTTTGTTTGTTTTCAAATTCACGCAAAGATACACGAGAGCTATTTGCGCTAGCCGCACCTAATTTAGCAGTGTAAGACTAGAGGGAAGGCAGGTAGTCATCATCACCCACCGCCATCTCTTGGGCTACTCTTTTTACACTATTAAAATTCATTCGGTTTTTCAAGTCACAGTTGAATTTTAGCCATTATTTTTGTTTTCAGTGAAGAGTAAAATAATTCGTTGATATCAAGGTTATTTCGAAACCAGTTAAATTGAGCTACTTATAACCTCAAGTAGAACCGCGTACCAAAACTCGTATTTTTATTCCAATTCTAATTAGCACTAATTGCATCGATATAATAACAATTTATGTTAAATGATAAAAGAAAGGAGAAGGCATTTCAATGATTCAGTACAATCAATCATATAATCAGCCCCCTCCAGTTGCACAGCGGTATGTCTGCGGACTTATAACTTTAAATCCGGGTTTCGATACCCGTGGTGGGCCGAGAACAGATAGCCCATTGTGTTGCTTTGTGCTTAATTTCACCCCCCCCAGTGGCACAGCGGTATGTCTACGGACTTACAACGCTAGAATTCGGGTTTCGATACACGTGGTGGGCAGAGCACAGATAGCCCATTGTGTAGCTTTTTGCTTAATTACAAAACAAACAAAAATAATTTCAAACAAACAACTATATAGTGAAGTATTTAGAGTGAAACACCAGCACCGATGATACCAACATCGTGACTACTTCGCTCAATTTAAAGCATTTTTTTTTTTACTTTTCAGTTTCTATCTTTATATGATTTGATAATACTACATAAAAGCGAAGTTACAGTTTTACCTTCCATTAGGTTACTGCTATATACGCCCGGTTTTCCTACAAAAAAGGGAACCAGTTTAGAGTTTCATTACTCGTTATGGTTTACATTTTATTTTTGGGCATCAGCTACAGGCTGCTTTATTTCTTCTCTTTTGCTGATACGAGTAGACACACTTCACATGATTGGCGGAAATTACAACTTTAAGGCGTGTCGTCTACAATCCACGTCTCATCTTAAGTTTGGTAATTTTTTTCAAGAAGGTGGGGAAGCAGATAGAAATCGCGAAGTTTTAGAAACTCATTAGGGCTTTATCTGGTATTTTGAAATGATTTTTATACAGAAAGAAAGTTTACACTAAACTGTTCTAATACAATTTGAGTCGATTGAAAAGTTGTTTACTATTTTATACGTTTATAGTGAGACAAACGTTAAAGCCTGGCATGGCCTGTAGTGCTGTGGAATAGGGCCTGTTCGGGGGGTGCCCTCACCCCCCTACGGTAAAACAAAACACAAACATAGTTTTTTAAAATGTATTTATGCATGGATATTCATAGGTATCCTAGGTTGAAAAAAGATGTGTTCCGGAAAGCCATATCGAAAATCATGAAAACTGTAATATGTCTGTCAGTTTTTGTGATATCCTAACAAAATTGTTACCAAAATGAAGCTTATATAATGGCTTTCAATACTGTATGACATAAGTTATATTATTCGTCTGATTAACTTGGCATTGTGATGAAATATGCCATTTCTGGACATGATTTGTTTTACATTTATACCCTAATACTATTTATAATAATTCATTGTTTGAGGTTCTCTTTGGTAGAACAAGGCACAACTATATTTTTCTAATGTATTAGTATCTCCCAAGTCCCCCCCCCCCAAAAAAAAATTGGTTACGCAATAATTAACCCGTTTTGATATGTTATTAAACATGTATATCTACAGGTATACTTATCAAAAATTTCACCCGAAAAGCTGCGTCTTAAATCACTAAATCTGCAATAACATCATCAGTTGTTGTACTGATGTTAAGTTCGAAGAAGGGCCTTTGTTAGTTAATACTATTTAACTCACCAACATTTCATGTCAACTCGTACCAGGTTTATTATTGGTGTTTTAATGAGCTATTTAACATATATACGTAGCAAGGTTGTAGAAAGACTGGCTTTTTATAGGACCAAATAAATCATGTATATTGTGGTGATATGATAAAGATTTCGATGTTTGGAAGACTAACACTATGTGTAAGAAATAACTGTATGTATAACATGTATTACACCTCACTCAAGAAACTGTTTTGTGTGTGTATAAATTAGGATAATGCTAATTGAATTTATATACACTGATTAATTACCAGTCATTTCATTTAAGTGACTTTTTTGAATGTTTTATGAGTGACTTTCACCTTACTTGCTGCTTGAACAAACCAGCTTGACATGAACTTTAATCTAGATTGTAGCGAATTAGCTAATCTGGATTTTTTTTTTATCTGTTGTGTTTTCAGGTAGGTTGATCAGGGATTTACATATACGGGTGAAAGGTGAATTCAGAACCATCAGGTAAAAGAGCCCACTTGTTTAATGCTAAAAACTGTATCATGCGTATGAAAACACTGAGAAAGTGTAAAGGCAATCTTCCTCGTCAGAGGAAGGATGATGTGTATGAACTATTGTGGCTATTACAGAATGGCATTCTTTCAGGCAAAACTAAGGTACCTCTGAATATCCGTGCACAAATACACGTGAAAACGGGTTTTCTTTTCTTTTCACAACCATCTATTTCACACTTCTAACATACCAATGCATTAACAAGATATATATAACACCTCCAATTACTAGACCCCTTTTTTGAGAATGGCCACAGCACTACTGATGGTTAGGAAGCCCAACTCGCAATCTGGAGCTCGCGGATTACCATCACCGAACATGTTCGCCCTTGGGTTGCCGCCAGAGTGTAAACATTCTTGGCTAATGTAGAATAACCTAGCAACCAATCCCAAAGCTAGATTGGATTAAGGTTGAATCGAGGAGTGAGGCAATAGTTGTTTTACAATATGTTGGTATTTAATAATGAACTCAATATCTGTTGTCAAAATGTGTGTTTGTATACATACTACAGTGTGCCATACTGTAAAAATGACAAAAATTTCATGAGATATTGTTACTGATCAATAAGGAGCTAGAAGTATTCCACTTTTCAGAATCCAGGACAAAAAAGTTTGCAGTAAAAAAACAACAACAAGTATTTTAAAACTAAAACCTTTCATAGAAACTTTTCAACCCATTCTTAGTTGATAGTGTTTGCTAGAGGCTTATAAAACGTGTTAAACTACACTGATGGCGGTGACGTTTTTAACCGAACTGTATACATTTTCTCAAACATATTAGAGCGAGGCTCAATATTGATACAGTCAATATTTTGAGCGAATCTTCTATGTTGGAAAATAACTGTGGATCAATAACTGATATAACTAAAAGATATTATAGCAGTTATATCACGTAACAATGGATCAAACATTGATATTATAGCAGTTGTATTACGTGTTATTGGATAAAACATTGATATAACCAAAAGGTATTATAGCAGTTGTATCACGTGTTAATGGATAGAACATTGATATAACTAAAAGATATTATAGCAGTTGCATCACGTGTTAATGGATCAAACATTGATATAACTAAAAGATATTATAGCAGTTGTACCACGTGTTAATGGATAGAACATGGATATAACTAAAAGATAATATAGTAGTTGTATCACGTGATGATGGATAGAACATTGGTATAACACTCTATATATAGGCGGTTAGTATTTTTTTATTAATTATTTTAACTTTTTTGTATCTATGATCAGGTTTTGTTGTTGGATGAACACTACTACACATGTACATTAACATTTAAGACTACTTTTAAAGTGTTTTGTAAGTAAAGACGTGTTTTTCTTTAAGGCTAATTCCATAACATAACTGGGTTACAAGGCTTAAAGAAATTTTAAGGATTACTATTATGAAGGTTTCTTTGTTTGTAATTTAGCTTAGTGTATGGATTCAGGACTTGGCTAAATCTTCCAAGCTGGCCAAATCTTGTGAGACATTAGCATGTTTATGGCCAAAAATATCGTAAATAGCGAAGAAATGCGGCTGATGAAACTTGCAATCTGATTACTGTATAGGGTCTCCCAGTGGCTCAGCGGCATGTCTGCGGACTTACAACGCTAAAAACTGGGTTTCGATACTCGCGGTGGGCACAACACAGAATGCCCATTGCGTAGTTTTGTGCTTTACTACAAATAAAACACTGTATAAATGTTAGTTATCTTGCGCAATGTTTTGTAATATAATGAGTTCTTATCAATTTTTTCCATAGAATTGGATTTATAAATTCATGAGTTACTTTCTAGTTCTAATCTGCATAGATAGCTTATTTTTGTTCAGAAGTTATTAATAATTATATAAAATGCTCTAAGCTAAATATTTGCATTAGTTTAATTACAAATATGGATCTTAACAGCTAACCGTAACTGGTGTTAATTGTTTTTAATTTCGTATTCACTACAAAGAAACTAACTGATTAGTATTAATATAAAACTCCGACTAACCTGTCACTTTCTCTACTTAGTAGCTCCCTCTGGAGGCGTTCTTTGTACTCATCATCTGTAGTGACATCAAACCCGACCTCGGGTGGTTTATGCGTGTCTTCCTTTACGGGCAATAAAGAAAAACAAGAATCATTAAGAATTAAAAAACAAAAACTAGAAGAAACTACGAAAACAAGCAGGTTTTTGTGACACATCCATACACAACTTTATCTCGTACGCCAATAGTTATTACTTTGTGTATTACGACATTTATTTTGTTATCCTAGAACAACATACAGATGCGAGACAGTGTGCCAGGTGACATCAGTACTGGTGAAACATATTAATAACCGAATCGACCCAGGCCTTCCAGTGGCAACAGCAAGACCGTAGGTTTTATTACTAGCAAGCTGGTGAAAATCAATTACGAAAGACATCTTTGCCAAGAATAAAGTGAGGTTAACATTTTCTCGCGTGACAGTAAAGTTGGTACAAACCACGTGAAAGTAACCTTTTGTTAGAATATTTCAAAATCGTTACCATGGAGACACTTTTTTCAGCTTAATGGACTCCTATTGTAAGTTATTCAATAATAACGGTCGTTTTACATTTCGTTTTTTTTTTTCTAAATTTTCACTGGAGTCTCTCGACAGAAATAAAATTAGATTATTTACCTCATAATTATATCGTTACGAATAACGACAATTTAGAAAATTACACACATGTTGTTTTAGTTATTTCTTTATCCATCAATGTTTGGCAATCATTTTCTTACCAACCAAATAAGAGATTTGCGTAACTTTTGCACAAAAAAGTTTCCCCCCAGTTTCTGCTTGATAAGATATTAATTATTTCACAGTCACTCGCAATTGATACTAAACTGTTGAAGAAACGTATCAGTAAATCAATAACGTAATCTCTAAATTTTTAACTGAAACTACTGGATAATACTGAAGTAAAAGGTAATCCTTAAATGCTGTAGATGGATGTCTTTTGTTATTTACAAACTGTTTCAATTTGGTTGTGTAATAAAATATATCAGTCTATTAACAATTATATAGGACATTAAATACTGATGTATAACAATTATAGGACATTCAGAAAACGTGTAACAATATCTCTCCTTTTTTAAATCAATGTATAGTAACTGTTTCGCATTTTTTATAAAGCCTAAACAACACAGAGTTGGCTGAATTTCAATCATCCACTTATATTTCTTATAGTCACATTTTGAAATAAGTTATTCTAAACTTTCATTTTTTTTAATTTCTAAATAAACTCCTCTTCCAAGAAAGCAATAAACTTTATATACATAAATACTTTTATATGTATATTTAATAATCAATAATCTCAGAATATTTAATTAAATGTTTGTTTGTTTGTTTTGAATTTCGCGCAAAGCTACACGAGGGCTATCTGCGCTAGCCGTCCCTAATGTAGCAGTGTAATACTAGAGGGAAGGCAGCTAATCATCATCACCCACCGCCAACTCCTTGGCTACTCTTTTACCAACGAATAGTGGGATTGACCGTCACATTATAACGCCCCCACGGCTGAAAGGGCGAGCATGTTTAGTGTGACGGGGATTCGAACTCGCGACCCGAAGATTGCGAGTTGAGCGCCCTAACCACCTGGCCATGCCGGGGCCTTAACTAAATTATTTACTTATTTACGTAGTATAAGCGCTTTCGTCCGAGGTAGACTCTTCAAACACATGCACATTTATATGGTAATAATTATCAGAATTGTATAATGGATTATTGTCCCCCCATCCCCAACTAGGACAGAGGTACGTTTACGGACTTACAGCGCTTAAATCCGGGGTTCGATTCCTCCGCGGTGGACACATCAGATAGCCCAATGTGGCTTTACTCTAAAACAAACAAACAAATGGACTCGTTAGTAATAATCTTAGATATGACGTCACTAATATATGTATATAATCAAAAGGGACAAAACACATACGAACTTAATATTTTTAAAAGTGTTGGTTAGAATAGTTTTAGGAGCTATTTTTATTTTGCCTTCCGCTTTAGTTCACTCTCTGAAAACGTTTCGTAAAATGGAAAATTAGAAACTGTCTATTTGCAACAAGCGTCCGGATGTTCACTCAGTGGAACATTGAGTGTTGATAGATTCCGAATTTGTGGCGAATTCGCATTTTCTTTCACACAATTTCTTTTCAATTTGACCAATGTAATTTTCGTGGCAATTGAAACACGTTATTAAATGTACAAGATTGTCAGGTTTATACTTTATATCGGTATTCACTTTGAAAGTGTGTCCTGAGTTAAAAGTGACTTTTTTTTTCGGTTTGTAGGTTCTTAAATTTGCTACCTTTGACTGAGTGTTATGTTTTTCTCAGTTAAAAGATCCTTTATATTAATATTCCAAATATTTCTCTTATTAATGACTTTTGTTCAAAAAGTGGTTTGAAAATAAATATACGACATTATATTTAGGATTATCATTAATACCTGAAGACTCCATCTTGGACAGAACTGCTTACATTACATAAATAATTAAACCATTTGTTTACTTATTCTGAAGTAAATTATTCCTATATATATTTCAACTGTACAATATTTATACACTCTGCACTATAAATTACGAGACATAAAGGCTAAATTTTAACGGAATATTTAAGCGCGACCGTAAAATAAAGCCTAAATATTAACGGAATATTTAAGCGTGACCTCTAGCGTTCTTCGATAAAAACCTGATAATGGAACACATCTTTCTAATTCCTCTTCATTAATTTCACAACTTTAGCTCTTTTGAGTGTTTTCTTGTTAAACATAAACCTGTACAATGGGTTATCTGGGTTGTGCCTACCACAGGGATCGAACCCCTAAGTTTAGCGTTATAAACTTTAGATGGAAGATAAATTACATCAAAAGACAAACTTTCTATTTTTTTTATTAGTCAGCTAACTACTGGCACCTGTATAATACAGCATGCGATGGCGTTACTACGTTTACAAACTAACAAGTTCGAAAAGCTATCAAAATAAGGATTTTTCACAGGAATGGGCATGACGAATACAAAAAGTACAGTACAATATTTGTAGCCCAGGGTGCGTCGAAAAGCATCACTAAACTTCCTTAAATGACAATCAAAAGTTATTTACAAATTACAAAGTCGTCGTTACTTTCGTATTCAATAGCAATACTATGAAGGTAAAGAAGGTAACGTCCAAAATATTTCAAGAAATTCAAAAAATACATTTTAGAGCTAAATAAGTTTATTCTAAGTAGATTACAGCTCACGATCTCATGAACTGCGATGTATATCTTATTAATGAACTGCGATATATCTCTTATCAATGAATAGCGATGTACATATTTTTAGAAAAATTGTAAACTTGGCAAATTCCTCTGTTACTCACCAAGATTATGTTAACTAGCTTTCCCCAAGGGTATGAAACTTTTAACACTGAGTCTGAATTCTCTGAAGCTCAATTAACATCCCACTCCCCAGCAGCTAAATCAGATGAAAAACATGGGCACATTTTATGAAACGTATTTGATTAAACTTGATACATCTCAGATTATGTAAACACAAGGGACGGGCGTAGCCTAGTGATTAGCGTGCTGGAGTGTAAATCCGAAGGCCATTTGTCAAATGAATCCAAACAAATAAAATTTGATTATAATTAATAATCAGTAGATTACGTAAATAGAGAGTAGCCTAGTGGTTGGGGTGCTGGAGTGTAAATCCGAAGGCCATTTGTCAAATGAATCCAAACAAATAAAATTTGATTATAATTGATAATCAGTAGATTACATAAATAAAAGGGCCGAGCGTAGCCTAGTGGTTGGGATGCTGGATTGTGAACCCCAGATCCCAAACCAATAAAATAATTTAATATTTTCCAAACAATTATTAAACGAGGAAAGGCTGAAGTTTGTATAACAAGTACATATTAAACTTTAAATATTGGTAATATATTTACAAATTAAAATAACTAATAGCACCTAGAACAAATACATATGTCAACAAAGTATTCGATAAAATACATATAAAAAAAGTACAATGATTCATATAACCAAAATGGTTTACTTTTGAGTTTACACGTGAAAGTAGATAATAAAGATCCATCTTTATCCCTTATTTTAATTGAAGGTATTAAAAAAGTGTGGATTTTATCCACTCATATTAAAATTTAAGTTTGAGAAAAACATTTTCGTGGAGATATTTTTAATTTTGTTTAATTAAAATGTTTGAAAAAGAGTTTCTTCATTTTTAAGCAATATTCACTACTTGGTGAATCTTTAGAAGCATTTTATCTGATGATTCCGAAATTTGGGTTTCAGAAAACCTCAGCGACAGAAAGAAACATACCTTTAAAATATTAAAGATTAAGTTGGAAATCAATTAAAATCACTGGAAAACTGCAAGAAAAATTTTTCTTTTTCATCACGAAGATGCAAACTATATGGCAAATATTTTTCGTACCTTAGTCTGAAAATATTCAACATAAAGCGTCTTATTTCTTTTTTAATCTGGCTTCATTCTTTAACTATTATTTGTTTATAACCCCTCTCGGTAAAAACTGAGAAGGTTTTGTTTGGATGTATATACATACATCTTAACTTTTACCTTATTTAATGTTAAAGTATGAAAGTACAAAAAAATTTTAATGAAACTGTTTGTTTATTATGAATTTCGCGCAAAGCTACACGAGGGCTATCTGCGCTAGTCGTCTCTAATTTAGCTGTGAAAGGTTAGAAAGAAGGCAGCTAGTCATTACCACCCACCGCCAACTCTTGGGCTACGCTTTTTTTATCAACGAATAGTGGGATTGACCGTCACATTATAATACTCCCACGACTGAAATGGCGAGCATGTTTGGTGTGACGGGGATTCGAACCCGCGAAGTTTTTCTTCATTACCCATTCAAGCCGTCTTCAACCATTATTAGTCTCAAAGTGGGTTCCTCGTCATCGAAGAAGAATTGGAAATTGTTTGGTTGGTTGTTTGGCGTAATTTTGGCTCACAGCAACATGGCTATCTGCGCCGAAGAATTGGAGTCGACGATAACCTAACAAAACTATCACTTCAGTCTCGCATTTATTCACTTCTTACAAGCATTTTTTATCAAACGAGTTTTGATTCCTGCGAGCACATCGAAGACCAACACCTGTGCACCTTTGTGCTCAACAACAAACAAACAAACTGTTAACCCCTTCCATTCCGAAACGGTTTAAATTTATTTTACGTTGCATGACTATGTTTACCAGGAAAGAGATAAGTCGTTTAAAAACTAATGCCTATAATTTCGTCGATTAACGCTCGCATAGTGTAATTGGATCTGAACATTATCGATTGGCTTAAAACTAGTTGCAACTTCAAAGTTACATTAACTATGCTACACATCGTAATAGTATAGGAACGTTATTACTTATTTCAACGGAGTTTAAAACTCATCGTTCACTGTATTTTATAATATCAAACTTGCACAAACTATAATAGAAAGAAAACATAAAGAGAGAAAGATTAAGGTTATTGAGAAAAAAAAAGTACGTTGTTTTTTTTAAACTAAAATACTAAATAAAGCGTCCTCTTTACCTCTTTAGTTGTCGTGTGGGTCCCGTTCTTGTTGGTGACGTCGTCTAGGGTTCCGACAGGGTACTGTGACAAGAAGAGTTAAGTATGAGATAAAGCACGTGCGTTAGCTTTCTGCGATTTTCACGAAATAGGCTAAAGCACTTTTAGGGTTTTAATGACTGTCGTTACCTTCATTGATAAATCACGCAAAAACGTGACAAAGCTAGGATGTTCTTTCATAAGGTTCACGTTTTTTTTTTCCAGGATTCATCTACTTACAAAGACAATATGGTAATACATCAACGAATTAAGTATATTTAATCTAAAATGTAAATAAAAGATAAAAAACCACTTTGCAAGTGAAGTCTTGTTGATTTTTAAATGACAAAAAATGACTACATTTAAAAAAAAACTGAAACTTTTCTATCATAAACAAAATAGAAAAACAAGAAACTAATAACCAAAATATATTATGTTGAGAACCGGAGAGCAAATATGAGTTGTAGTTGTAAAAAACACGTTTATTTTATATCTTATCTCCCCAAGTTCAGGGTTTTTTTTGTTGCGTTAACTAATGTTTGCTACTGATGAGTTTTCCCGCTGGGACAGCGGTAAGTCTTTGGATTTACAACGCTAAAATCAGAGGTTCGGTTCCCCTCGGTGGTCACAGCAGATAGCCTGATGTGGCTTTGCTATAAGACACACACACACACTACTGATGGATGTGGAGCTTACATAATAATAACGTATCATTTTATACTCACTAATTTAGCCCATGAAACGCTGAACACAAATTTACTCAGGACATGAAGTACAAGGAAGCTGAGTTTTCGAAAAACGTACAAAATATTTCGTAAAATGGCCATTAGTTATCAAGTTAGTTTAGTGTAACATTTTTGTCGCGATACATAGGTCGATTTTCTTGTTTACAAGGGTACGTTTTAAATCGTATATTAAATTTATTTGAAGTTAAGCACAAAGCTACACAAACGGCTATCTGTGCTCTGCCCACCAAGGATATCGAAACCCGGTTTCTAGCGTTGTAAGTCCGCAGACATGCCGCTGTGCCACTGGTCCATCCGTCAGGTCTGAAATTGATCATTGATTAAATTACAATAAAATACGCTCAAACAAATTAATCAGTGAACATAGATATTAAAATATACAAAGTTACGAGCGAATTAGTTGTTAGCGGTAATTCTGAGTGGCTAGTGAAAAAAGAAAAATTAATTAATATAGATATAACGCTATATACACTTTCAACTTTTAATTCATCTCTGTAGTTTGCACTTAACGAGAATCCACAATTTTGTTGCCATGGAAACGGTACGATACGAAGCAGTCCTTTGAATTGATAAAAGTGGATACTAATCTGTTAACGAAGACGTTGGTGATGAATTAACTGACGAAAGGCATCTCTCAGAGTTAATGTACACGCAACGTTCAAATGGTGTAACAAAACTATTTTATGTTTCTCCATCAACGTGACCAAATATTTAAATATTTTACAAGTTTCTAGCAATTCGTTCGCGTTAACTCTCACCTTCCGGATCACACATATCATGGTGTTTTCGATGAGTTTAATAGTTGTTGTTGTTGTTTTATTATCGTGAAGTTAATCTGATCTAGTTCATGTCGCTGTTGACGAATTTCGCGCAAAGACACTCGAAGGCTGTCTTGCTAGCCGTCTCTAATTTAGAAGTGATACACTAGAGAGAAGGCAGTTAGTCAACACCACCTGTCGCCAACTCTTGGGTTAGTTTTTAGCAGTAAAAAGTGTTATTATAATATTATAATGCTCACACGACTGAAAGGGTGAGCGTGTTTGGTGACGGGATTCGAACCCACGAGTCGAACATCCTATCCAAGTTGATTTCGAAAGCAGAGAATGCATCAAAATCAAATAGACTGGAGTCTTTCAACCACGATATAAGAAAGTTTTATAGACTTTTGCTTTAAGCAACGTATTATTATTGCTGGTTTTATGAAAGGATAATCTTGTTTGATAACCAGCTCTTGTATTTTGGTTTTTTTTTTGAAAAGGTTGCTTCCAATCTAGGTAATGGAAATGAACGATTTTGTTCTACCTGGACTATAAAAAGACATCTGATAAAGGACTTCATTAAAGATTGCGAAAATATTTATTGGTATAGGATTAGGTGAAATTAAAAATGACATATTGTCTGGGAAACTGGTTATCAACAAGGAAACAAAGTATTTTTTTATTAATGGAAAATAATGTAACGAGACCAAAGTCACAAGTGACGTACCTAAAACTTCTATGTTAAAACTTGATCCCAAGTGAGAGAATTAACAATAGAACAGTGAAGTTGCATGATGACATTAAAATACATGGCTTGGTTTGTTTTGAATTTCGTGGAAGCCGTCCCTAATTTAGTAGTGATAGACTAGAAGGAAGGAACATCGCCCTCCGACAGTCACATTATAACGCCCACATAGGTGAAAGGGCGAGCATTTTCGGTACCTGGGATTAGAACCCGCAACCCCCATATTGTGAGTCGAGCGCCATAACCACCTGGCCATGTCAAGCCTTAAAGCTGCATGGTGCTACAAACAGTATTATGAGGAAGCTGCCACCCTGTAGAAGGTTTTAGAAAATTTAGTGGAGTCGACTAACAAATGGCAAATGCTTGTAGCGTCGTTTAAGTTATGATAATCTTAACTACTATCAAATTAATGGAGAATTTCTAAAAAATGTCGGACGAGGAAACGGACTTTGGAATGACAACTGTTAGTTCTTTATGTGGAAAATCTGCTATTGCTTGAAAAAGAAAGCAGTAATCACCAAATATTATTCTTGCAAAAACAACAAAACAAAACAAGATAAAAACTGAAGCTATGGAGATAGGCTTACTGACCTTTGACTAGTCTGACCTAAGTTTTTTTAACCATTGGAAATTTAAAAAAAATCAAACTTGTATTTATCGACACCTTGCCGGTGGTTACAATACATAGGAAAACATGATGCATCTGTGTAAACGTGTTTATTAGTGTTAACACGATTGTTTCAACTTACTGTGAATTTCACGTTTATAGATTTTGAAAACAATTTCGTGTATTTGCTCCGGGAGTGCAAACTTCATTCAAATATTACATGACTCTTTACGAGCGTGTTGAAAATTCAGTTCGTCTTAGTTTAAATCATCTGTCTATTTGCGGCCTCCTGTCGGTGTATCACGTGATTGTTTCCTTTCAATTTTGCGCCAAATTAATCAAACATCATTGATCACTTACATGCAGCTAATGATCCTATGCAGAACGTGCATGTTACCAACAGGGGTTTTTCAGAGAACTGAAAAAAAAATCTGCTCGAAGGATAATGGACCATCTGGGGTTTAACGATAGCATTGTATACTCTCTAACACAGAGAAAGGCCCTCTCACACACGCCTTTGCTATCGATTGGTCTAGACTTTCTTATTCAGCATAGTAAACCGTCATTCTATGCAGTATTGCGAGACCTCTTCAGTTAAATGATGTACTGTATAAAAAGTTTACAAGCTAATAATGTATTTAAACATCCTGAGGAATGTAGCGCTCTGAAAATGCTTTATTTTGAGGATAATAATATAGTATGTTGATACATATGAATATATATATATATATATATATATATACAATTTGAAATTGCAATTGTAAGAATCTGATATATACAAATTATGTACTTGTAAATGTTTCAGACTAAAATACCAAAATTTAACACGTTTGCTAGTATGCTTACAGATAAGAAGAAACAAACAGATAAATATATCATTAAATACCGCTTATAAAGTTGATTTATTTTCCAAACTGCAAAATATATCAAATGTCAAAGGGAAACAAAGTATATTTTTGTATAAAAATAACGATTCACTGAAAATACGATTATACCGCAAGGCCTAGTAAGTGACAAAGTACCTTAAAATATATTTTCAACACACACATTTATTATGCTTTTTTTTACGTTTCGATGTGTAATGATATACACTTGATGTTGGGGCAGGAACACATAATGACCAATTATTATGATTTTTTACGTTTTCGATGTTTAATAATATACACTTGAAGTTGGGACAGGAAGACATAATGACGAATTATTATGATTTTTTACGTTTTCGATGTTTAATAATATACACTTGAAGTTGGGACAGGAAGACATAATGACAAATTATGATTTTTTACGTTTTCGATGTGTAATAATATACACTTGAAGTTGGGACAGGAAGACATAATGACAAATTATTTTGACTTTTTTACGTTTTTGATGTTTAATAATATACACTTGAAGTTGGGACAGGAAGACATAATGACAAATTATTATGATTTCTTACGTTTTCGATGTTTAATGATATACACTTGAAGTTGGGACAGGAAGACATAATGATAAATTATTATGATTTTTTTACGTTTCGATGTGTAATAATATACACTTGAAGTTGGGACAGGAAGACATAATGACAAATTATTATAATTTTTTACGTTTTCGATGTGTAATAATATATACTTCAGGTGAAAAATACATACATTATCACACGATGCCAATAAAGATGCCTAAACTTGGAATTTCCTTGCTATGCTAATTTTTTCTAGACAACTGAGAGGAAACAATTAAATGTGATACAAATATTTCGTGATTATTCTATAAAAATACTTATAGACGTCATGTTTGTTGTCTAAATACATTCTTGTTACAGATTTGCAAAACATTCTATAAACAGTTAGATTTTAGCTTCTGGTATTCTTTATAAAACTCAATCTTAGAACTTTGATTATATTCATGAAAATGGCGACTAGATTTTAATGTCTTTATATGACATTTAAATTTTCTTACGGGCTTTAAAACTCCTACAATCAAATATGTCCTGATTCCTGCCAGTTTGATAGCTTCTTCTCGGGATGCTCCATCTCCAGGGATGACTTCGAATTCATCATTTAAGAAGCTGAGTGTCCTCTCAGAAATATGAACTCGTCTACAGAAATACAAAAATTTTTTACTACACGCATTTAACTGACGCAGAAGTAGTACACTTACTTGTAAACATATTCAAATTCTCCCCGCTAAGCAGCAGAAAACTAGTGATATGAAACTAGGAAAACATCGAATTTTCAAATTAGTGAATTGAATTTTAATATTTAATTAGTACAGCAGCAGTTTCTGGTATCACCAGCTCGGATGATGTAAATTACAGTCACCACCACCCCTGTTCAACATACTACTTGCTGTAATTATTCGGTGTTATGTATTCGTCAATCTAAAAATGACTCGTTAAACAAGACCAAGTTAAAAAAACTACATTATTGTGTCTTGAAAAGCGATTACAAACAATTTTGTTTAAACTAAAATTGAAGACTATACGTCAATGGATTCAATGAATAAAAACTACATTATTGTGTCTTGAAAAGCGATTACAAACAATTTTGTTTAAACTAAAATTGAAGACTATACGTCAATGGATTCAATGAATAAAAACTACATTATTGTGTCTTGAAAAGCGATTACAAACAATTTTGTTTAAACTAAAATTGAAGACTATACGTCAATGGATTCAATGAATAAAAAACCAATAATATTTCTAAACTCAATTACTGAATCTGATGCTACTGTAAATGTTCTCCCAAAAGGGCGGGTCTACCGTATACAAGAGACTGTTTCATTTGTCACAACAATGTAAAAGATATACTCAAACCCTTGGGAAGTAATGACTGGTTTCCAGAAAGATAGTTATAATAAAGATTTAGTTGTATTAAGTAGTATTACTTAATTATATAATTATTTTATTTAGTAAGCTTTAGGTTTGTATGTTTGTTATTTAGAGCAAAGCCACGTGTCGCTATCTACTATGTCCACCGCGGGGAATCTAACCACGGATTTTAGCGTTGTAAGCCCGTAAGCTTACCGCTGTCCCACCGGAGAACGTCAGCTTTAGGATCACTTTTGTAGATAAATTATCTTGGTATGTGCTGTAATGGAGATTAAAATACGATCCCTTTCTTAATTCTTCTTAATTCCCTGTTTTGAGACTTAAATATTTTTTTATTAGACATGACTAACGTTCGAATATAAGTATTACAACAATTTTTATTCATATATAATATATTACTATGTCATCAATACCGAAAAAACCATACTGTTTTCAATAATGCTATGTATATGAAATTAAATGGGGGAGGCCCAACCACCCTCATGACCTTTCTCGTGTCATCCTTTATCTCTGTGTCAAGTTTGGTGCCGATTGATCAAGAAATGTGGAAACGTATAAGGAACAGATACACACATATTAATGTTTATTTATATAGATACAATGAGGCAAAGTGGGGTAAACCCGCAACTTTTCCATTATTATTACAGTCCTATGTTTGTATATGTATCTATGCAATAATAAGCTAGATATAATCCATCTCCAGCTTATGATATCCGAAAAAAAAGCAATCAGTAATTCCACAAGCACATATTGTTTTACACAATAATATAAAAAAGAGGTAAAACTAGAGTAGAGAATATTTCGAAACGTTTTGGTCTTAGGCCTACACCAGAAGTTATACTATTATATTAACGTAGTTATCTTTGGTTTCATTATGCGGACCATGTAGATATGTGACTGTTATGGAGACCGGAATGATAACGTCAGGGGATAACGCTTACTTATCATCCATATTGGTGGGATTCATTTTGATCGGTATTTGGGAGGGTCAGGTGCTACTTGGTGTATCTAAATTTGGTTCGTTTTGAATTTCGTGCAAAGCTACTCGAGGACTATCTGCGCTAGCCGTCCCTAATTTAGCAGTGACAGACTAGAGGAAAGGCAGCTAGTCAACACCACCCACCGCCAACTGTTTTACCAACGAAGAGCGAGATTGGCCGTCACATTATAACGTCTTTTGGATGAAAGAGCATACATATCTAGTGACAGGGGTTCGAACCTGCGACTCGGAGATTGCGATTTAGTTGCCTTAACCATCAGGCCATGCAAGGTTCTGTGTTCCTAAACTGACGTGTTTCATAACACAATTCGTTGCCCGGGATAAGTTATATAGATAACACGTATAAGGCCAGTTCTATATCTCATATTAAATCCATTTACAAACGGTCGTTCAGAAATGGCTCACTCACCAGGGGATTACCGTTCAGCATTCACTTAATTTTCATTCAAATGAAAAACAAATAAAGGAAGAGGCACAGCGGTATGTTTGTAGACTTCTAATGCTAAAAACCGGGTTCCGGTACTCGTGGTTGGCAGAGCACAGATAGCCCATTGTGTAGCTTTGCACTTAGCAAAAAACAAATGGAAAGGATATAGCCACTAGGGTTTTTCAGTGTTCAAAATGATTTATTTTATTGCAATAATTTTATGTAGTCGATATCTTATAAAGTAAAATACCGAAAACAGTATTTAGTTATAAAGGTATTCCGCACACGCGCAATAACCCAGAATACTTTTCTTTGTCGTCTGCGTTCGTCACCACTAAGCCTATGTCACGTTAGTATATTTATTTATTCCGTTTAAAGGTTATTATTTTTACTCTATTTTTCACAAGTAACCACAGATGAGGAATGATAGTTATGATGTTGGAAGATATAGGCTTGACATCAGCATTTATTCCTGAGCTTAAATAAAATTATTAATTTAATTCTACATCAGAAGCACGCGCGTGTCTAATTTCCTCGTTCATCTCTCACAGTTTTCTATTTTGTACCTTATTTTAATTTGTCTGTGTGTGCAGCTATTTATTTTAGCCACATTGTATTCAAGAAATATGGGTTGTTTTGTGTACATCGCATCAATAAAACATTTTTTTCTTCTGAAGTTAGTATTAAAAACTGTGTGAAAACGACACATTCTCTGTTATATATGTTAACAAGTATCACCTAAGAAGTCTACATACTCTCTAACACAAAAGATATTTTACAGCAACTTAACTGTTTGCAGAATAGTTTTATCTGAAATGTAATGATCCTTAGGTGTTGGATATATCAACACTCCAAATGCTAATTTATCAGAAGTTTAGCTACGTACCCGGGAAGCCCTCCACTTTCCATCTTATTGGCCAGCTCTACATCTCGACTGTAAACGTCAAACTGCCACTGTCGTTGACCGAGCACTCCAGCCAAAACGCCACCTGTGTGTATTCCTACTCTCATGTCCACTGTTGATTTTGTTTCTTCCCGGACTGATCTACCACGGATACAAAAAAAAAAAACACATTCAGAAGACCGTAAAGTTCGATAATTAAAGTGAACGAAAAAATTAATGGTGTGGTCGAAAAGAGGGAGGTCACCCAGTCAGCAACACCTACAGCCGCAGGAAATTTATCCACCACTTTTAACTGATTAAGGGAATTTACTGTTACTTTTATAACACCCTCAGTCTGAAATTCTATTTAGAGCTCAAACTTTGGACCCTTCGATCCGCAGTCCGACATATCAACCACTAGACCATACTCTGGCATTTTACTAGAAGAAAAAACTTAATTTTATCCAAACAAATAAGTCGGTTAAGTTTCAAATTTATGAAGCAGTGATATATTATTTTCATCTGTGGGCTATTATAAGAGTAACAGGCAACGCCGTTGGCTCAAAGAGCCAGACAAAGTAATTCAAAATTAAGGATAGCTATACTCAAGATTTTTAGTTGAAAGGTGACCGTTCAAACTGAAAAAACCAATAGAATCGTTAATTAACTAATAGGATAAAATGGATGTCATTTCCACATCCTTAGTTTTGCTTTAGACGGTGACAATAGAGAAAAAATATACAAAGGAATTGGAGATCTGAAATGAGTTTCGTCAAAACTAACAGAAAGCGAAAATAAGAAGTAAACACGGTTAAAAACTGTCATTATTAATATCAATAATTTTGATATATATATCATTTATATATATATATATATATAGATACATGCATACATACATACATAGAGACATATAGAAACGAAAAAGGGCACTTCACTTGGATAACACTTCAAACTACACCAACATGCCCTGATTACATATACAAACAAAACGGAAGAAATCATGTTATGTTGTGAAACCTTCCAGATTATTGAAGAGCAATGAATGTTATGGTAAAATAATCTGAGGATCTACAAAACAGACAATTGTGGATATTTTTAACGTAAGTGGAAATTGTTAACTGGTTTTTTCATTCAGAAGATACAGATGTAGTTTTATATACTTATATATATAAGCAGATTATTAATTTGAAACTCGGTAGTTTTCTTGTGGTAAGTAAAATGAGAATTTAGCTCCTCTGCAAAAGTCCTCCGGTGGGACAGAGGCAAGTCTTCGGACTTACAACGCTAAAATCAGTGGTTCGACTCCTTTGGTGGACACAACAGATAAACCTAAATGGCTTTGTTATAAGAAAACACACACACTTTTCTACAAAATATTAAAAATAAAATAAATAAATTCTAAAGATCTTAACAGTTTGATGTAATTCTTACACAAAAATTTCGAACTGCTGAAATCACCGACTAGAATTATAAATGAGTGAATATTTAAGACTCTTATTTTTAATACTTTGCAAAAGAATTTTGACGTTTCGCCATTTTTAGAGTAATCGTTTTTTTCTAAGTTTATTGTCAAAATTTCCAAAAGCTCACTTTCTTTTTCAGTTTTGCAATGAAGCCAAAATATCGGACAAATAATAAAAAAGTTATATATATAGAAAATTAACACTCAAATAGTCAAGCAAAATAAAATCAAAAGCGAATCCAATCCTGTGGTAAATGACATTTAAATGAACAAAAACAAGCCCAAACAAAATTTAATTTAATGGCGCTGCATAAATTAAAAGGATCCCCACGGTGCAGACTATAATGTGGGATATATATAACTGTGTTTGTCTTTGAGAGCAAAGCTACATTGGGCTATCTGCTGTGTCCACCGAAAGGAATCGAACCCCGCATTTTAGAGCTGTAAGTCCATATGCTTACCGCCGTCCTATCGAGAAACCAATTAGCGTCTTCTTCGTGCGCATGGAAATTTTTTAATAATCATTTATCTGATATTTTCTAATAATTTACCGAAACGTCAAAAAAGGAAACTATTTTCACAGGAAAGTAGTTCAGGAACCTATTTCTGTAGCAGCTACAAAACGGATTTCTACTTTATGCTCACTAATTCAGTTTTACGCTTTTATAATTTATCCATTCAAAAGTCTCTCCATCAAAGTTGAACAGTTTCCCTAATTTTTCTTGATTTATGTCGGAAATTCATGCAAAGCTACGCGATTTTTAATTGATAGACTGGAGGGAAGAAAGCTACCCAATGGCAGTCACTTTCAACTCTGATCGAACTGTGGAAGTTGACTGTAACTCTTTTAACTCACCCACAACCCTAAAATACGGAGCACATTTTTGTGGCAATAAGCTCCTCAGATTCACATTCCAGCACGCTTACCACCAGGCCACTCCTGACCCCCCCCCCCCCCACCTTTTTATTAGAAAGTCCTTCCCAGAGGAAATTAAAAATGCTTACGTTTATCAAACAGTATGTGTATCCTAACTTATAAAAAAAGTCACTTAAAATATTATGTTTCGTTATATTTTTAAGCCTAGTTAGTCAACAAAAATACATATATATTGACCTTTATGAATAACTGGACATTTTTACAGATTTCGTACAAGAAGATTAATGCACATAAAAGTTAGAACTGTGACCAAGAAAAATATATTAGAAACTCAAAAAAAAAATACATTTTTGAAACTGCTAAATTTTTGTCCTAATTTTGATTATTTAAATAAGAATTTGAAAATTTCCCTCCTATGAGAAAGAACTACAACTTCAATATCAGCTAAACATGTAAAAAATCATCGTCAGAAAAGTCATTTAATTAAGATTTGTTTGTTTGTAGTTAAGCACAAAGCTGCACAATGGGCTATCTGTGCTATGCCCACCACGGGTATCGAAACTCGGATTCTAGCGTTGTAAGTCCACAGACATACCGCTGTGACACTGGGGGGCATTTAATTAAGTAATTCTCAATAGAATTCTAACAAAATGTTCCACAGTATAGCAAGCATAATCACCAACTATCATTTCTTAAGCCTATTTGTGCTAATTTTAATTTTTTTTTCTGGGAAGGGGAGGGCTAATGTGCACGATTATAAACTTCAATTTTTAAGATACTTGGTGAAACAAGGATCAAATAGCGTGAATTATGTTTTTGACGAAATGCCATTATTTGGTTAAACCGTATAATACCCGTTATAAAGTTTATATTGATTGGCTATTCTTAGTAATAACGAGATCAGAAACGAAACATATTCAACGTCATTTGCTTCAGTAGATATTGCCAGGATAAACCAAAATGAAACTCTTGTTAGAGAACACTGGGGTTTTAGAACCAAATAGGATCACTTTAATAAAGTTCCCTGTAACATCTGTTATGTATCTTAAAAAAACGCTGGAAGAGAATTTAAATAGTTAAAGGATGCGCAAGAATATTTTTGAAATAAACGGTCAGAATTTAAACCCATATAGTTATGAGGTTATTTCGCGCAAAGCTATACCAGCTTCTTTGTACTAACCGTCAAGATTTCTGAAATGATAGACTATAGCAGTGGATCCCAACCCTTTGTGGCCCTCGCACACCTCCCCTAAAAAGTGTGCATTAGACATTTCCTCTTGGTGACATTTGGGGGGAAAACGGACCTTGTATAGGCCTCTTCCGCGCACTCCCTGAACCCTTATTTCGCACTCCCAGGGGGTGCTAACGGGTATCGAAACCCGGAATCAAGCGTTGTAAGTCCGCATACATACCGCTGTGCCACTGGGGGGGGGGGGTTACAATTCGAGCACTGTCTAGATATCAGCAAGTGTTAGTCACTCATTAAATATGAAGATCTACTTACTATTGCAACGAACGCCTCGATACGTCAAAATAGTTTTGTTTTTAGAAAGGTTGGCGTGTGAATAAGATGGATGAAGATACAGAATGATCAGTGTGGCCGACACTTAAGTGCAACCAAAACGAAGAATCGAATAACTTTCAAAATAACATTAGAAAGTAAACAAAATGATGAGATTTGTTTATGTTTATGAGTTAATCGTGAAAGTATTAATTATCATCGTTGAAAGTTTCTGTCTGATTTAGAAATAGTTATTGAAGTAATTTTAAAACGACGGCTTCAACCTTATGTGAAAACATTATTTTGTAGTTGCTGAGCTGTTAAACTTTTAATTTTATTTATTTTGTATATCGACGTCTGACACTTACTTTTATATCTTCGTAAATTGACTCAATGTGATGTTTTCAAGCTCGTACCAAATAATGTTTAAACTTTTGTCCTGGAATGACCTTATTTTACACTTTCTCGTTTGCGTAAAATAAAACAAATAACTAGCCACCTGGCCATGCCAAGCCTTCGTAACGTTTATGTTCAGTAATTAGTTCCATATTTTTCTTGATTTAGATATAATGGCCTACTTCAAAAGAAAATAAACACGAGTTCCTGTCTTGTAAGATTGTCGTTATAAAATTCCTTTTCTTTGATAGGCTATTCACGTATATCTATCATCAAAGTTCGCTAACTGTGAATGACAAAAGAAAAACATTAAGAGAAAACTATAACTCCTTAATTCTGATGACAGGCTGGAGAAAATAGTTTTTACTAAATTTAATTACATTTGATAAGAACAATGTTCTCTTCTAATCTATGCTTCATCCAATGTATTTCGATTTGAATGTAGTAGTCTTGACAAACGTTTTCCTCAACTTTAAGAGTACATTGCTTCCAAGATTATAGTGGGCACAAAAGGTCATGGAAATTGCATGGAGGAATATGATGGGTGTATGGTCAAATACCTCCACTTTAATAGTACGTTGCTTCCAAGATTATAGTAGGCACAAAAGGTCATTGAAATTGCATGGAGGAATATGATGGGTGTATGGTCAAATACCTCCACTTTAATAGTACATTGCTTCCAAGATTATAGTAAGCATAAAGGGTCATTGAAGTTGCATGGATGAATATGATGGGTGCATGGTCAATTGGATTGCTATAATTCTATGTTGTTTATTTTCGAAACCAAGGGTGTTTCAAGAGAAAAGATGACGATATAGCTGGAAGACTGTGAAGCCTTGGTTTGTGTGCCTTCTTCACTTCCAAATTCTTAGTTGTTATCTTGTGAGTAGAAATAACATCTATGGCCAGCTACATCACAATGGTGT